AATCATTAACAGGTTTGCAAAGCAGGTGAGTCAGAGAAGGAAGTGAATAAACAGCACACAGAAGATTCTCCTAGACTCACATTAATGAGATTTTTAAAAATTCATTAAAATCGTAGATGCACAAAATAATACAAAGAATATAGCTGGGCCAATGATGTGATGCTATAATGTATCTTAAAATAAGAAATTCAATTCATGCAGACAGTGACTTGAATATAAGCTACAACTCTTCTGTGATGAACTAGTTTTCATTTTCCAAATTAAAACACTTTTTGTAGTGTAAAACAAAAATACAGCATGTTGCTGTAATAAAATACGTTAAATGGAATGAAGTTAAAGTGAAAATAACCTCGATCCTCTGCCTCCATCTCGTGGTTAAAAGTGGCACCTACATCAGATAAAGATCACGCACTCTTTGAACAGAGCTCACAGAACTTGTTTTATGTCCATTCAAATGATTCGAGCATTTAAAATTATATATATATATATATAGTTCTAAAGATTTTTATATCAGTAGATATCTTATTAAACGTCCCTGTATTTTCCATGTTTACCACACGATGGCGCATCCATACAGGTGTAACGTCCACAATCGAAAGCTGTGAAAATATATTTATGTAAATAAAAATTTACGTTTATTTTGAACATTCATGGCTCGTGATTTATTTTATCCTAAAATAAAAAAGTGTGCACTTCTTCCATAATGAGCTTGTTTCCAGTAGTGAAATAGGCCTAATAAAAAGCTGCTTTGACTATTCACTAACGTATATAAGCATTTTACAAAAATGATCCTCATATTAGGCCCATATTAGAATTATAGAAAGTATATTATTATTATTATTATTAATGATAATAATAATAATTTAAAAACAAAACTTATCCTCAAATTAGCCTCAAAATGATCAAATAAATGTATAATTAAAATATAATGTTATGTAACATAATTTAAATTATAAATCATTTTTGTGATTGTATGTTAAACTGTTACATTTCAAGTCAAAGTTAAACCGAATAAACTTAAAGGTGCAATAGGTGATTGTCTTCAGAACATTTTTTTGTTATGCTGGTTGAAAGTTTCTTCACATCCCGATAGCAATCATTAAGTTAAGTGGTCTAAATGTATTTATCTGTATTTATATATTCTGTGGAAGGCGTAGGACCAAGAAATGTTCGTCCAATCAAAACGCTCGGTCCGAGCGTTTTAATTGGCTTTCCTACCTGCCTGTCAAGGTATGTATTAGCATACCTCTGCGCACCCCGTGCGCGCAGTCGGCGCAGACAGGATACGTCATCAGCGCATTCACGCACGCTGTGCAGACAGAATGAGAATGGCAGACAAACATCAACAACCCGATCTTCCTTCCTTCCATTTTGCATGTCTCGCTTAGTTAACACACCCGATTCAGATAACCAGCTCGTTAGAAGAGAGCTACGTGCATGAACTGTGTTCCGATCGATATGATAACACAGTGTTCATTAAAGTTTATTTAACTTCGGAACATGGCCTGGAATTGGGAACCACTGATGTAGGGTATTGTAGTAATGTTGTCTCTGGTATTCTGGTCTGTGAGTGAGCGTATATGCGTTCAGGGGGCGTGGCTTTGGACGGCGATTGCAGGGAGGGTGGGATGGTCGCTTTCAGTGCTATCAGGCTAAAGTTAGCATTTTCCAAGATCTCCTACTGCACCTTTAAAATGAAATAACAGCAACTAAAGATAAATACAGAGAAAGATGTCATTTAATAATAATTTCCGATAAACTTACCTGTATTTTCCCTGTTTACCACACGGTGGCGCATCATAACACAGGTGCACACCAAAAAGAGTAGTAACAATTTTTTGCTATTTCAAAGTAGTACTATATTAGAATTATTGATTTGCATGTAATATTGTCATATTATCAATACGCAGTCAAAAAATGATATAAACTAGGGGAACTGCAATAAAAACGAGGTGCCTGGAATGTTAATAAAATAATAATTGCAGTTACTACCATGAAATATAAACGAAAGCCCACTTCACATTCCAGCCCATTAGATGGCAGAGATGCACTGACATTACAGTAGAAATCAAAGCAGAAGAAGAGTAACGCTGAACAACAGCTGTGCTGGGGAAAGTGAAGAAAGGAGGATTTACTGCAGGAAAAACACCTGACATCTGCATGACATGAACATGAGTGATCCAGAAACCTACAGAGTGAATGAAGATGATCCTGAGCAACAGACAGGTTAGTGTCTGTCTCTGATGACTGATGAAGAACATTCAGATCACACACCTTCAGCAGATCTCAAGCATTATCTGACACATTTAAAAAGACCACTAGCATTCTCTATTCTTTTACTATTCTATCTACTTGCTTTCTTTTTTTAGTTATGATCAAAAATGACCCTCTAACACTATAGCATTATCTATTCTTTTTCTATTCTTTTGACTTGTTTTATTTTTATTAAAAAAAAAAGACCCTCTAAGACTAGCGTTCCCTATTCTTTTTCTATTCTATCTACTTGTTTTCTTTGTATTCATTATTTTAAAAAAGCCCTTGCTACGTTTACTGCGTTAGGCTAACCAAGTCTTGTCACAGTACTTACCTATTATTGCTCTTTTGTTGGTTTTGATGGCTTCTCATTTGTAAGTTGTTGTTATTTTTATTTTTTTTTGCCATAAAAGCGTCTGCTAAATGTAAATGTAAATTTTAAGAGCTGTAAAATAACCAATAATATAAGGCAAGAGCTAAAAAAAAGTGACACAATGCATCTAAACAGTAATAATAATGCTTGATGCTTAACACATAAACAGATAACAAAAATCTAGAAATGTTAATCAAGACAAATCCTATCAGATTTTTTGTAAACATTGAATTTTTATGTTTACAGTTTATAGATAGATAGATAGATAGATATTAGCTTGATTTCTGTGTATTTCTGCTAAGAAATTGTTATATTACAACATTTGTTCTCCTTGAATTGAATTGTGATTTTTTTTTCTTTCATGTTTTAATATGTAATTTCAGATCTGTTGGAAGTCATTGAATTGGAGGATATACCTAATCATTTCATAACTGGAGAAAAATCTTCACATGAAAGTAATTTTTCTCAGAAAAGTGCTCCGAGAGCAAGATCTACCCGTTTGCTCCCCTGCCCTCACTGTGAAAAGAGTTTCACCCGTAAAGGAGATCTGAACAGACACGTGCGAATCCACACGGGAGAAAAGCCGTTCACCTGCGTTCAGTGCAGGAAGAGCTTCACGCTAGCAGACGGTCTCAGAAAACACCTGCGCTCTCACTCCGGAGTCAGATCCTTTCACTGCGTCCAGTGTGGAAAGACCTTTATTTTGCCGTCGCACCTGAAAAGACACATGCTCATTCATGCAGATTTCAAACCATACTTGTGTTCTCTCTGCGGAAAGAGCTTTTCTCAGCTGGACTGTTTGAAAAAGCATCAGAAGACACACAGCGGAGCGAGACCTCACGAATGCTTCGAGTGCGGGAACGCTTTTAATTCAGCCGACACTTTGAAACGGCACCGCAGGATTCACACCGGAGAGAAACCATACACCTGCTCCGAGTGTGGCAAGAGTTTCACTCAGTCCGGACACCTGAGACAACACGAGAGGGTTCATACGGGACAGAAGCCGTACTACTGCTCGCTTTGTGGAAGGAGTTTTAGCACAGCAAGGAATCTGCCGGCTCATATGAAAAAACACAGTCCTGACACGTATCAGATAAACCAAGATGATGAAAACTGATGCAGCGAGATCTGCAGAAAGACTTTATTGCACTGAAATCACACAGGATTATTCTATATGTGCTGTATGTCTGTAAACTAAGAGCGTTAGAAATTCACTCAGGCAACTGTTACAGCATGCATGGATGAAAATATATTATCACATTAATAAGTAAATAAGGTCAGTTTGGTTATTTTAGAGAGAAAAAAATATTTAATTTAGCCTTATTTTCACAAAGGGGAAAACCAACTTTTCGGTTCAGGCCCGTTATATGGTAGTATTTCCCTATTTTAAATGTATAAATTAATTTATTTAGATTAATAGGCCTAATACTTTATCATCATAACAGAAGTCAAGCTTTCTTAAAGTTTTAGCAATATTTATTATTATAAGTCAGTTATATTATTGTAAGTCAGTGATTATTTTAAAGTTTTTTTTCTGTGCATAAAGTGCAAAAATATTAACTGTGAATAATTTGTTGTGTTGTGATGATATTTGCTGGTCAAGGTCATTATTAGAAATTAGTTTTTTATTGTCAGCCCTGTAATATTTAACTCTCAAACTATTTTCAAATAAACTATTTAAACAAAAAAGCTTTTAACAATTTTTTTTTTAATTATAGAACATATAACCATGTTTATTATTATTTATATAATATGTTATTTTCTAAATATTTTGTATAAAAACTTTTTTTTTAATATTCGGCACGTGCTTTTATCCAAAGCAGTATTATTTTATTGTCATTGAGATATTAAAGTTATAGTTATTTTAATATTTTGAATTATATTTCATTTTTTTCCATCTTCATATTTATAAAAAAAAATTATTTTAGTATTTTTGTTGTGGTTTTGTCATTTTTATTATATATTTTTTCTGTTTTAGTTTCAGTTATTTTAATACATAAAGAAATTTTGCTTTGGCAACAAGCTGAAATAAAATAAGTTTAAGCTCTTTTTATATTTCAGTTCATGTTTATTTTATTTCAAGCAATCATTTTTATTAATTTAGTTGTTTCTGTACCTGTGTTGCTTTTATCCAGAGAGACGAAACAGTCACGTGGTTTTCAGCTGACTGAGACGTCGAACGTCATAGATCACGTGTTCATGGCTTCGAATCTTCGGCGTCGAATGTAAACAACTATTCTTTCAAATCTTTTCAAAACGCGTTCGATTTCGGATAACCGAGCTACAGCTGCTGCGCGGCGGACTCAGTAAAGTGTGGACACGGAGACGCACAGCAAGGGTGTAAAGCGGCGTTTGGGACAGGCCCTTAGTTTAAATGCTGGAGAACATCCACCTCTGTCCAGCATGAGAAGAAGACAGGAGGAATTACTTCAGCTGAGCTCCTAATGACAACCTGCTGTAAAGATGGAGTTTATTAAAGAGGAGAATGAGAACACGAGTGATCCAGAACCCTGCAGAATTAAACAAGAAGATACCGAGGAACAAATAGGTTCACGTAGAGTTTATTGTTGGTTCTTTATTAATGACTGCTGAGGAACATTAATGTCACAAACCTTCAGCAGACTACTGGCTTCAAAATGTTTGAAGCTGTCAAATTATGTAAATAATAATAATTGTTGTTATTATTATTAATAACTGTTATTACATGTAGAATTATTATATAACTTATAGTTTGACTACAAATATTAATAATAATGGTAATATTAATTATATATATAATTGTATTAGTAGTAGTAATTAATACATTTTTATTAAATTGTTATAAGATTTGACAGCATTTCTTCCAGTATTTTTGTAATGCAAATATATACTTTTATGTATTTTAATACCAAAAATGTTACATAAAAAAAACAAAAAACATCAATCTGCCAATACATTTTGTTGTTATTATTATGTAATTTATTATTTAACAGTTAATATTAATAATAAAGAAGAATTGTACATAACATTAGTAGTATTATTATATAATTTGACAGTGTCTGGTGTTTTTGTAAATATGCATAATTACATAATGCTTAAAAAATGTCACTTAAATAATGGCCTTCTTGCCATTAAATGTTGTTATTATTATGTAATGTATAAACTGACAACTAATATTATTAGTGAGGAAGAATAATTATATGTAACATTATTATTGTTATATAATTTGACCGTCGTATAAATATATTATACTAAATATATAACATAAGGATTAATCTTTTAAAGGCCTACCTGTCATTAAATAGTATTATTTAATTCATCATTTGATGCTAATATTAATAATTTATAATAATTATTATATTATATTATTAGTGCTGTCAAACGAATAATCGCATCCAAAATAAAAGTTTTGTTTACATAATATATGCATAATATATGCACGTGATGTGTATATTTATTATGTATATATAAATACACACACATGCATGTATATATTTCAGAAAAATAGGTTATGTTTATATATGAAATATATTTATTTATAATATAAATTATATAAATATAAATGTAGTCATGTAAATATTTTCGAAATATATACTGTATGTGTGTGTTTTTATATATGCATAATATACACAGAACACACACATATATTATGCAAACAAAAACGTTTATTTTGGATGCGATTAATCTTTTGACAGCACTACTGGAGTTTCCTGGTGTTTTTGCATTATAGAATTATAGAGTATTAAAATAAAACCTAAAAAGAAATATTTGAATGGCCTTCCTACCTTTAAATTCACCTTTAATTGATCCGTCTTTATTTGATCGTTTACATTTCACAACTGTTCCTCTTAAATTGAATTGAACAATTACATGTCTTCATTTCAGACCTGATGGAAGCGAATGAAGTGGAGGAGAAACAGCATCAGCATCACTTCACAACTGGAGACAAATCAGGAGGCAAAAATTATTTCATCTGCCCGCAGTGCGGAAAGAGTTTCCCGCATAAAGGAGACCTTAATAAACACATACGGATCCACACCGGAGAGAGACCGTTCATGTGCATTCAGTGTGGAAAGAGCTTTACGCAGAAAGCAAACCTTAGCAGACACCTGCGCGTTCACTCTGGAGAAAGACCCTTCACGTGCCCTCAATGCGGACGGAGCTTCACATCCACCAGCATCCTCAAACACCATCTGCGCTCTCACTCCGGAGTCAAGTCGTTCAGCTGCGATCAGTGCCATAAGAAGTTTATTTTAGCCAAACTGTTGAAAAGACATCTGAAGATGCATGCAAACCAGAAGCCGCACTTGTGCTCGTTCTGCGGGAAGAGTTTTTCACAATTGGACTATTTTATCGAGCACCAGAAAATGCATATCGGTGGGAGACCTCATAAATGCTCTGAGTGCGGAAATGCCTTTAATACGGCCGATTCCTTGAGACGACATCAGAGGATTCATACCGGGGAGAAACCATACATTTGTTCGCATTGTGGAAAGGGTTTCATTCAGTCGGGACATTTGAGAGCGCATGAGAGATTGCATACGGGAGAGAAGCCGTATCAGTGCTATTCATGTGAGAGGAGCTTCACACATTCAAGTAAACTATTGACTCATGTTAGAAAGCGTTGCCCGAAGTTGTTGTCCATCACTTTAAAGGAATAGTTCACCCAAAAATGAAAATTTGCTGAAAATATACTCACTCTCAGGGCATTCAAGATGTAGATGAGTTTGTTTCTTCATTAGATTTGGAGAAATGTAGCATTGCATCACTTGCTCAGCAATGGATGCTCTGCAGTGAATGGGTACCGTCAGAATGAGAGTCCAAACAGCTGATAAAAACATCACAATAATCCACAAGTAATCAACACCTCTCCAGTCCATCAGTTAATGTCTTATGAAGAGAAAATAGTCCATAATGGATAGTAACGCTTCCTCCAGACCATCTCCTGTTGTCTCTCACATCAAACCCCAGCCACATATTTGTTTAGAGCTTTTTTGGGCTGGTTTGGCTTGTAAATGTGCTTGATCTGTGCAGATTTCTCTCCTGATTCAGACCAGACACCTTTTTACTGGAGAAAGCAATATGTGACCCAGGACCACAAAACCAGTCATAAGGTTCGTCTTCATGGAACATCATCTTTACTTAATACCCTAATGATTTTTGGCATAAAAGAAAAATCTTTCATTTTGACCCATACAATTTATTGTTGGCTATTGCTACAAATATACCCCAGCGACTTAAGACTGCTTTTGTGCTCCAGGGTCACTTATTATTGACAAAGGACTCGTATTTTACCCAGAAGCAATTTTATAAAGTTAAAAACACCTTAATGATTGACTTGTTTCTTACAGACACAGCTTTTGCTTCACAAGACATTAACTGATGGACTGGAGTGGTGTGGATTACTTGTGGATTATTGTGATGTTTTTATCAGCTGTTTGACTCTCATTCTGACGGCACCCATTCACTGCAGAGCATCCATTGCTGAGACAGTGATGGAATGCTTTTTGATGGGTTTGTGGGGAAACTTTTCATTCCATTTGTCAAATGGAATTAATCAAAAATCTCCATCTTTAACAGCTTAATGCACTGAAACCCATCCGTTTCGTCTCGCAGCATGTGGAAATTTATGCGAGGTGTTTTGTTGTTTCTATAAATGTTCATTTTTTCTGTCACACACAGATGTAAATATGGACATAATGCTTTTCCAAAGTTGTGAATTTAAATCTAAAGTACATATTTTTGTGTAGACTTTTATATTTACAATGCATACAAATTAAATGCTTTTTTGTTTAAAGGCAAAGTACATTTACATTCATGCATTTGGCAGATGCTTGTTCCGTGAACGATGTATAAATAATGTTTTTGTGCCTATGTTTTTGTGAATGTTATTAAACACCAGATATCTTTGAACAGATGTTCCATCAATGTTATTGGAAGAAGGCTTTTTAATGAGTTTTCTAGAGCCTTGTGAGAACATTCTGACAGCGCTCCATCAGCTGGATACATAGCAAGTAATTCATGTTGTTGATGTTAATGATGTTTTAATTTCAATTATTGATGTTTTTGTTTAAATGTATACATCATCTCAAAATATGGACTTTCAAAAACAAACAGATCATCAGAAGACTGGACTTTATCTGTGGAACTGCATTGAAAAAAATACATGTTTTACAGCTGCCATCTAGTGGTTGAAATATGAACATGTTCAACAATATGATAAAATAAATCAATAAAAATTATTACACTAAATAACGCTCATAAGTACAAAGATTTTGACATTATATTTAGAAGTCAGTGTTCAGATCAGCTATGAATTTTTTTTTGACACTTTTTTTTTTTTTGCATCATAATTCATCACAGGCACCCAAATCATATATTAAAATGTAACTGGTTCCCATTTTTTTAACTAACATTTATATATTTCAAATATCCCTTTGCAATAACAATATGAATTTTATGCATATAGAAACCACAGCCGTACATGCAATAACAACTGTAGTTTATTTTAGACTTTTAGGATTTTAATGCACGTAATGTTATAACGGGGAATAAATCAAAGGAAATAATCACCTCTCATATTCAGACTTCATTCTGTTCCTCTCCAGTACAGTAGATGGCGGACTGTTTAGTTAGTTCGCAATCCGTCAGTGTTCCCACAATAGAAGAAAGAGATGGTTCCTCAACAACAGAAGATCTTTGTGAAATCATCAGCTGGAGTCTAACGTGAGTTGGTTTTTATGTTTTAACAGTTCAAGATTGTGATGATACTCATAACTGGTGTGTGCGGTTGGTGTTTACAACAGAATCACTGCAGTATAAACAGTACTGCTGTCTGTTGTTATGAATATGCATAGGAATAGGTAGCTATACGTTAGCTAAAGTTAAATTAACTATTTTTTATTTTCATATTTTGAGTATACATTATAAATGATATTACTGTGATTATATTATATTGGAAAATTATATTGTATTTGTTATATTATTTTATATTCGTTTATTGTCGTGTTTTTATTTGGCTTACAAAATTGAATTGTTTGGAAGCTATGTTTCCGACATGAAATTTTAAAAATAAAAGGTAGGCTTATTGCGACTTTTTAATCTCACAATTCTGACTTTCCCCCCCTTTTTCTAAGGAAGTTTATATCTCGCATTTCAGCGGGAGAAAAGTCTGAATTGTGAGATAAAAAGTCGCAATTAGGCTTATTTTATTTTTAATTCGGTGGCAGAAAATAAACTAAATTGGAACAGTTCAAGATTGTGATGATACTCATAACTGGTGTGTGCGGTTGGTGTTTACAACAGAATCACTGCAGTATAAACAGTACTGCTGTCTGTTGTTATGAATATGCATAGGAATAGGTAGCTATACGTTAGCTAAAGTTAAATTAACTATTTTTTATTTTCATATTTTGAGTATACATTATAAATGATATTACTGTGATTATATTATATTGGAAAATTATATTGTATTTGTTATATTATTTTATATTCGTTTATTGTCGTGTTTTTATTTGGCTTACAAAATTGAATTGTTTGGAAGCTATGTTTCCGACATGAAATTTAAAAAATAAAAGGTAGGCTTATTGCGACTTTTTAATCTCACAATTCTGACTTTCCCCCCTTTTTCTAAGGAAGTTTATATCTCGCATTTCAGCGGGAGAAAAGTCTGAATTGTGAGATAAAAAGTCGCAATTAGGCTTATTTTATTTTTAATTCGGTGGCAGAAAATAAACTAAATTGGGAGACGTAGTCAGAATTCAGAGGATAAAGTCAGGATTAAGAAATGTTAACACACAATTACGAGTTTATAACTTGAAATTGCGAGCTATAAACTCACAATTATGAGAAAAAAGTTTAGCAATTGCTAGAAAAAAAGTCCGAATTGTAAGATAAAATGACGCAATTAGCTTTTTTAATTGATTTATTCCTTGGCGGAAACAAGTTTCCATAGAATTGCGACGTTTGATTTGAAGAATGCATTGATATTGTATTGATTTTTGTTTATTAATCTGGATATATTTACTCATTCTTTTAGAAAGTGGCTTGCATCACTCTTTGTAAATGCTGTAAGCTTTTGTGCATGACTCTTTCTGTTTTCCAAAAGCATTGTGTTTAAGATACAGTAATGCAATGTGAGATAAAACTGAATCTTCCTACAGATGAAGAAGAAGAAATGTTTCCAAAAAGCAAGAGAAATTGACCAAGTTTTGACATTAAAAACAATGGAATTTACTCGATGGATAATGAGAGCCTAAGCGATTGAAAAACAAACCGGTTGGTGTCTATGCATTTAAAATCAATTTCTAATAATGTTACTTTCCAGTTTTATTATTGAATTTGAATTATGACACAGACTAATGTGTTTATTTTAGAAGTCATGGAACTGAATGAAGTGGAGGAGAAACTCAAGAAGAAACCAAGACGAGAATCTTTTAGTTCCACACAAAAAAGAACATCTCAAAGAACCAAAAACACTCGCACCTGCCCTCATTGTGGAAAGAGTTTCATGCGTAACGAACACCTCAAAATGCACCTGCTGATTCACACCGGAGAGAAGCCCTTCACGTGCCTTCAGTGCGGACGGAGCTTCAGATGTAAAGGAGACCTGACGAAACACACCAGGATCCACACCGGAGAGCGTCCGTATGCATGTCCTCAGTGTGGAAAGAGCTTCCCGAGCGCATACGTCCTCAAAAGTCATCAGCTCCTCCACTCTGGAGTGAGATCTTTTAGCTGTGATCAGTGCGAGAAAACCTTCATCCTGGCCACGCACCTACAGAGACACTTGAAAATTCATAAAGATAGGAAGCCTTGCTTGTGTTCGCTCTGCGGGAAGAGGTTTTTGCATTTAAAGGAGCACCAGAAGATGCACGCCGCTGTGAGAGCTCATCTGTGCTTTGAGTGTGAGAAGAGCTTTACCTCTGCCAAATCGCTCAAACAGCATCAAAGGATTCACACTGGAGAGAAACCTTATAAGTGCACACGCTGTGACAAGAGATTCACTCAGTCAGGAACCCTGAAGGATCATGAGAGAGTTCATACTGGAGAAAAGCCGTATCAGTGCTCTTCATGCGGGAGGAACTTCAGCAGATCAAGTAATCTACGGACTCACATGAGAAAGCGCTGCCGAAGTTCATCCTCACATCGTAAACCGTTTGATATTCAGATGAAGTCAAAGATATAATAACATGTTAGTTAAAAAAAAGACATCTTTCTGGAGATGTTTAGATGCTTTAGAAATTAAAAATAGTATGAGACTGTGTGTGTGTGTGTGTAAAACATTTTATTTAGGTGTGTAACCTTTCTGACATGCAATATGCAAAAGATATAATAACATGTTTGTTAAAAAAAAGACATCTTTCCGGAGATGTTTAGATGCTTTAGAAAGTAAAAATAGTATGAGACTGTGTGTGTGTGTGTGTGTGTAAACGTTTTATTTAGGTGTGTAACCTTTCTGGCATGCAATATGTTAAAATAATGAACTTCTACCAATTAATTTAGAAACTAATGAAATCACCAAACCAGTATTGTATATGCATCATATGAGTTTTAATATTGTATATAAATGTGTATTTTAGCAAACTGTTCCTAAAAACTAAAGGTGAAGATGAATTTTTTTACAGCTGATGTTTTCCCACAACATATTTTTTTACATTCCATTACTGACTATAAAACATAAATAATGTGATTATATGCCGTCATGTCTGTCTGCACCATTAAAGTTCCAGTTAAGAAATGACTCTCCTGTTTCTGCTTCATATTGAATATCTTGCACCTGTACACCCCACATCTTCTGGCACTGTAGTTATGTTAAAAAGTTATGGTATGATGTCTTTGTTTATCAAAGAAAAGGTACTTTTTAATTTTAATTAGCATTTTGAAAATGTGGTTTTTGGATATTTTAAATATGATAATGTGAAAAACGATTAATCTGTTTATTTTATTAGTCGAGTAGTTTCACATTCATAAGTGTAAGCTCTGTTTCACTGGTTTATAAGGAATTGGAAAATATGTTTTGTACTATCCAACATAGTACTCATAGAAAGGCAATTAAAACTGTCCATCTGTGTTCTATCTTCGTCTGATACAAAGGTACTGTATGTCTGTGATTGTAATTTTCTTTTTTCTCTTTCTGGTTCCCCTGGATTCATATTGCCTGTTGTATTGTTTTGTTTAAAGCATAATAAAAAAAATCTTGCACCAGTACATAGCCTAATCTAAGTTGACAATATTTGGGCAGTGCCATAGATGTTCCTCAAGATGGCATCTTTTGTTTTCATTTCACCAGCGTGAGCTGCAGAACCAAATGACATCCAGCTCCCTCTCTCTGGATGAAACTGGACCTAATGGGTGGAGTTATGTTTAGCGATAGGGTTAGGTTGTGGTTGTGGTTGTGGTTGTGGTTGTGGTTGGGTCGTCTAGTTCCACCCATTGGCTCTGCAGTGAGCAGCCTCTCTTTTTGAATCCATCTTGGTTTCTAACTGCTTTAAAACTGCTGTTTATCAGATTTGTGAGTATCCTACATTTATTTGATCATATATCGGGAGAAATGTAAATCTGACAGCTTATGTATGTGTACAGTACGATTCCCGAAAGAATGAGTCTTAAGAGTCGGTTCATTTTAGTGAATCAAAAACAGTTACATATTGTCTCATATTGAATCCTAATAAATTACTTCCCTCGTGTCCGACTAAGAATTAACCAATGTTTTTCGACTAGTTGTTCACAATAATAATTGAAATTGTTTCTGTTTGAGCAAAATAGGCTACTTAATAATTGAGCTTGTTTGTTTAACATTGGGAATTTGAGTAGGAATGCTTTTCTCCATCCATATGCTTAACAAATTAATTGTCTTAGTCTGTTAGGAGGTGATACACTAGGCTATTATTGTAATTATTAATAATAATTTTATTTATTGTATCTACAGCCACTTGCATCATGTGTTGAGAAAAGTCATGAGCAAAATTACTTCAGTTTACAAGTAATCACAGGGTTTCAACACTGAAAAGAATTAGCCATTGGGGGGGGCGGGACATATTAAATGACATTCATATAATGTGTTTTAAATATCTAATATTTATTGTATATAATATAATTTTAAATATTCATATATTTTTTATACGTTCCTATATTTTAAATATCTCTTTCCAAAATATTTTTATAGCAAGGACTTTTTGATACTACAGTGGAATACCTAAAACTGTGCATTAATAAGAACATAACATGATTCCAGTCCGGATGGCAGATTAATTTAGTTTATATCCTGCCTGTAATCCTTCATGGTGATCAATACATCTTCAGCTGGAGTTTAAACGTGAGTTTGTTTTTATGTCTTAACAATTTAACATTCAGATCATCTCATTTATAATACAGAGCTCCGAGACATACACTGTGCCAGGGTTTTAAATGACCAGCGCCACTTTGCTTACATATCCAGACTAGAACAAAGAAATCTTCAAATTAGTTTAAAAACATAAAAGACCTAGTTCTTGGTCAGGATCCGTGAGGGTCAGGGGTCACATCTGGCAGGAAATGGGAGATTACACGCCAGTCAGCAGCAGAACAGAATTCTTCAAAATCTTTCAGTTTTTCTCATATTCTAGTGACTGCTGTGAAATTGAGATCATTTTACCAAACATTATGCCAAACATAAAGGGAAATAAACAACAGATTCTCAAGATAAATCATATGTGGTATATACTGTAGATATTCTTAGTGAACCTTCAGTAAAACTTGCTGGGGCCGGTTGCATAAATTGCTTAGTCTTAAAAATGTATGGCTTTTTAAAATCAATTACAAAACGGTAGATAAGCCCAATTTGAATTGTTAAAGTAAGTACTTAAGCCACAGTCTTATGATAGTGGCTATGTTTATGCAGCTGGCCCCTGGTGGGGGAGAAGTGTGAGGGGAGGGGGAGATTTTGCACGAGGTTCTCCAAGTGCCTTTTTTTTTTCCATTTCAGCCACGTGAACTTTTTGTCTATCGTGGGTCATGAAATGACTCTAAATCTAATGTTTGCCAGCTGTGCATTCATTCATTTTATTTGTTGGGATGTATTTGTTGTTTGTGTATTGAGCTCGACCATTGTTCAATTCCTGAAAAAATGACTCTTAAAAGTCAGAAACAAATCAAAAACAATCAGCCATAGCGGTTACAGAATCAAATTTGCTCTAATTGTCTCTAATTTTCACACATTGACACATCTAATTGATGTCTGATTACAGCAATCAGCCCTCAGTTATATGACTGTGTGATCAAAACACTTAAAGCTGGATGATTGAGAGTGATTGTGAGTGTTTGAGCATCTGCTAAATGAGCTCCATTGACTCCTTCAGTGAAGCCGCTCCACAGCCGTTCATGAGAGTTTAAATGCTGGAGAATATTCCCATCTTCCCACAGCTGAAGAAGAAGCAAGCAGGAGGAATTACTCCAGGAGAAACTACTGACATACTGTTGGAAAGATGGAGTTTGAGGAAGAACCCTGCAGAATGAGAGATGAAGATACAGAGGAACAAACAGGTTGGTGTTCTCCTTCATTCTCTTTAATGACTGATGAGGAACATTCAGATGAAAACTGATATACTTCTAAAACTACATTCTAGATACATTTTTACTAAATTAAGGTTCACTTTCGTTTTTGCTTCACATTTGTCCTTCTTTAAATGAATATTGTGAATTTAATCGGTTGGTTTTAGACTTGATGGAAACGAATAAAGACAAATGGCATCAATTTAAAAAAATCTCATCTTTTCACAGATGAAGATGGAAAGGATGTCAGTCAAAAACAAGCTAGAAAAACTGGAGTCAAAAAACCTTTCACCTGCTCTGATTGTGGAAAGAGTTACTCACGTAAACCAGACCTTAACAGACACATGAGATTTCACACTGGAGAAGGACTGTTCACATGCACTCAGTGTGGAAAAGTTTTCACAGATAAAGGAAAGCTGGATGTACACATGAGAGTTCACACTGGAGAAAGACCGTTCACATGCACTCAGTGTGGGCAGAGTTACATACATAAACCAGACCTTAACAGACACATGAGGATTCACACTGGAGAGAGACCATATACATGCACTCAGTGTGGAAAGAGTTTCATTGACACACAAAACTTAAAATCGCACATGAAAGCTCACACTGGAGAAAAACCGTTCACATGCACTCAGTGTGGAAAGAGTTTCGTATCCAGAAGCTTTCTTAAAGATCACCTGCTCTCTCACACTGGAGTGAAGTCGTTCCATTGTGATCAGTGTGATAAAACATTTGCTGTGGCATCAAACTTAAGAAGACATCTTAAAGTTCATGCTGGTGTGAAGCCTCACTTTTGTTCTTTTTGTGAAAAGACTTTTGCACATCTGCAAAAGTTAAAAGAGCATGAGCGTATTCATACTGGTGTGAGACCTTATGCATGCTTGGACTGTGGAAAGAGCTACACTACAGCATGTGCATTAAAATCACACCAGAAGATTCACACTGGAGAGAAACCTTACATGTGCTCACACTGTGAGAAGTGTTTTGCTCATTTATCATCCCTGCAATTTCATGAGAGAGTTCATACTGGAGAGAAGCCGCACCAGTGCCCTTCATGTGGGAAGAGTTTTGCTCACTACCCAAATCTGCACGTTCATATTAAAAAAAAGCGTTGCCCAAAGTTGCCCAAGTGAGAAATGTTTCAGATTTCAAATTCATCACATCACATTTTGGTAAACAACTCTTGAAAGATGAAAAGATATTAAATCAGTCAAGTTTGGCTATGGGGTTTATTCACTGTCTTTTATTCTATATATGCCCTCTTAAATGTATTCTGATTGCATGTTTTGAAACAATGAGAAATAAAAAGGAACAAAAAAAATTGCATGACTCATTTAATGACATAAAGCTGACACAAAATGTTTTAACATAGTATGTAACATTGCTTAAAAAAAATCAGCACCACAATTTTCAATTTATGTTTAAACATAATGAAAAAATATGAAGTTGAAATTGGTTATAAAGGCTGAATGAAATGCATGTGTTCTGTGTCCAATTCAGCAGTGAAATACTAGTCTAGCAGCTATCTAGTGATGAAATAACATTTAAGATCAGCTACGCTTTTACTTTATATGGTTATACTTTATACCTTTGACAGACTATCTTGGAAAAAATAGTTTAGATCCTCAGAATAATTACACGAGTTTCTCAATGAAGTTGACAATAATTTGGCAGTACCACACATTTGACTCTAGATGGCGCAATATGTTTTCATTTCAACAATGCGATGTTGTTGTCTCCATTGAGGTTAATGAAACTAGTGTGCTGTGTTTATCAGACTGCGGACATGATTTTATTTTTATTGAGAGAAACCTAAATCTGATAATAACAGTGACATGCAACAGTTGAAGGAGTCCAGAAGGTAAATACAACTGCATAGGCTACTGTCACCTATATAACATCTTATTTCTATATCAGTACTTATATTTACTTAAGTTTTGTTTTTCACCAAACCCTGTCGTATACCCCCAGAAATATTGGAATACACAGCATGTGTTTTATATGGGACCATTCTGTAATAATTGTGCGCCTTTTTTAAAAGCTTGATTGCAGCACCTGAGAAAAACTCAGCGTTTTGAGCGGTGAGTGGATTCTAACTTAAACACCTCTGATTGGCCATTGCGTTCAAGAATTTAACAGACATGTCTGTGATTGGCTACAATGCTCAACACTGCAAAATCCGTTGTAAATAGAAACCTTTGATGCTCTTGAGAGCGCAAACACAAATAAGCACTGGATCTTGCATTGAAACAATGAGAAATAAAAAGGAACAAAAATACATGACTCATTTAATGACATAAAGCTGACATACAGCGTTTTAACAATGTATTTATTGTATTTTATGTTTAAACATAATAAAAGAAGATGAAATGCATGTCTTATTCAGCAGTGAAATACTAATCTATCTAGTATTAAAAAGATTAAATAAAATTTAAGGTCATCTGTGCTTTTATCTTATATGGTTATACCTTATACCTTGGAGAAATGATCTTGAAAGAAAAAAACAGTCTTTTCCTTTCAACAATGCGATGTTGTTGAGTCATTTGAGGTTCATGAAAGGAGTCAATGTGCTGTGTATCAGACTGGGGACATTCGTTTTGTTTTTATTGGTAGAAACCTAAATCTGACAATAACAGTGACATGCAACAGTTGAAGGAGTCCAGAAGGTAAATACAACTGCATACTCCTCCTCCGCCTATTTGAAGCTTAATCTACCCAGAATTATCTATTATGGCGAAACGCCTGTCAACTATAAGAAAATCTTATTTCTAAATCAATTACTTCAGTTTTGTTTTTCACCAAACCCTATCGAATACCCCCAGAAAAATAGGAATATACGGCACGTGTTTCATATGTAAAGTTGCTTCTTTATTAAAAGCTTGATTGCAGCACTGGAGGAAAAACTCCTGTTTTGAGCGATGAATGGATTCACAAACGCCTCTGATTGGCCATTGCGTTCACGAAATCAACAGACATGTCTGTGATTGCCTACAACGCTCAACACTGCAAAGTGCGTTGTAAATAAAAACCTTTGACGCTCTCCAGACCGCAAACACAAATAAGCACTGGATCGTTTGCCAAATTGGTTTCGCCCCATAGACTGTATTAAACAATGTTTCGCCAATATGCTATTATCACAGCTTCACCCAAGTGTGCTCATCATGCTTTCGTTTGAGGGTGAATACTTTTGCATGTTTTGGCCACAGTCTACTTTAAGTTTTTGTTGCATGTACACAGTTTTGACCAGCAGGCGTCACCAGCGTGTGGTGTTTGGAGCGCTTTGAAAGAGTGAATCATTTTGCGAAGCAATTGGTTCAATTGATTCGAAGCTTCGAAAAGGTTCGTTTATTGTATTCACTCGCGCCTGTTGTCTCGCGCATGACACGACGTTCTAAAAACGCGATATCTTACGTTTTTTCCCCTTTCCTCTGCCCATTTAAAGCTGGATGATTGCAAACGATTGTAAGTGTGAGCATCTGCTGCACAGCCGTTCATGAGAGTTTAAATGCTGGAGAATATTCCCATCTTCCCACAGCTGAAGAAGAAGCAAGCAGGAGGAATTACTCCAGGAGAAACTACTGACATACTGTTGGAAAGATGGAGTTTGAGGAAGAACCCTGCAGAATGAGAGATGAAGATACAGACGAACAAACAGGTTGGTGTTTTCCAGCAGGAACATCAAGATGAAAACTGACATAAAATATAATAACGCTAGTAGACAGCAGTAACCTAGATGTGTGCTAAATTAAGGCTTAAGTTGATTTCATCTTGTTTCTAATTTGAGTTAATTTTAGACTCAATGGAAGTGATTGAAGACGAACAACATCGGTTTCAAAAAACTCATCATTTCACAAATGAAGATGGAAACATTGTTTCACAGACTGACATGAACTTCACATTAAAAAGTGCTCGCAAAACTGCTGAAAAGGGTTCTTTCGCCTGCACCGAGTGTGGAAGAAGTTTCAATGATAAATCAAACCTAATGAGACACATGAGATTTCATGCTGGAGAAAAACCATTCGCATGCACTCAGTGTGGAAAGAGTTTTGTTCTGAAAGGAGGATTGAATCGGCACCTGCAAGTTCACACTGGAGAAAAACCATTCACATGCACTCAATGTGGGAAGAGTTTCACATCCAAAAGCATTCTGAGGGATCATCTGGTCTCTCACTCCGGAGTGAGATCATTCAGCTGTGATCAGTGTGATAAAACATTTGCTTTTGAAACAAACTTAAGAGAACACCTTAAAATTCATACTGGCGTGAAGCCTCACGTTTGCAGTTTTTGTGGAAAGAGGTTTTCAGCACTGAAAACCTTACAGTATCACCAGAGTATTCATACTGGAGTGAGACCTTATATGTGCTTTGACTGCGGGAAGACCTTTAGTTCGTCGAGCAACTTAAAAACACACCAGAGGATTCACACTGGAGAGAAACCATACACGTGCTTACACTGTGAGAAGAGTTTCTCTCATTCATCAACCTTGAAAGATCATGAGAGAATTCACACTGGAGAAAAGCCGTATCAGTGCTCTTCGTGTGGGAAGAGTTTCGCCCGCTCCTCTAATCTACTGACTCATAAGAAAAAGCGTTGTCTGAGTGAGCAAAAGCATTTGTGAAACAATGGCAAGATCAGTCCGTTAAATCTCTGTTAATGTTCATGAGCTGTTCAATGGTGTTAGAAACTCTTGCATTTAGGGCGAAAACGTTGAAATCAGTCCAGTTTTGGCTTGGGGTAGTTTATGGTTAAATAGGTTTATTAATAGTGATGCCATTTATTGTTTATAATGTTGTGTGTGATGTACTGATTTCTATGAGAAATAAAAAGGAAGAAAACTTAAGTGTCTTATTAAATACATTTACTTTTGTTTACAAATGATCAAATGGTTTTGTTAAATAACTGATGTTGTGTTTTTGAACAAAAAACTGTACTAGATGTTTTTCAATTAAAACTGAATGAAACGTCTGTGGCAATGCAGTAGGGAAATACAGCTGTTATCTATAGTTGTAAAGAGATGAACCCATGCTTAAGAAGTTAGTTTTAAGCTTTTAACTTGACTTTTGGTCAGTAATGATAAGGTAAAAGAATTCTTACTGCACAATTATTTAATTGTTTTCTTATTTTAAAGCAGATTGTGTCTCATCTTCAGTAAAATTCTTTGTTTTTCTAAAAAAAGGCAGTACCATAAATTTGACTCTTGATGGCACCATTTTATTGTCAACCTTATCAGCTTACTGACTTAATAACATGGATCACAAAACTTCTTTAAATCTACTGTTTTATTACCCTGTGAGTACATTTATGGAAATTTAGGAAACGACAAGCACCTCAAATCAAAAAATTTTATTTCCTCATATTAAATGTCATGCTGATCTCTTCTGAATTTCTTCATGATTTTGAATACAGCAGTAACTGATTGTTCTTGAATAGAACATATATGCTGTTATATATATATATATATATATATATATATGGTGTTTCATCTGACAAGCTTCAAATTATTTATTTGTCTTGATCCAATAGCTTGTGACCCTCTTTTTCTGCTCTCATATGCATTTAAAAACAGATTTAAATTTGTTAAATTAAAACTAAAAACAATTTTGTGCAGTTTGAACAGTGATGAATGTGTGTATTTAATGATGACTTTTGTTTGAAGAAGTAATGCACCACATGGTTTAACAAAGGTGAAAGAGTGTAAAGGTGAACATGTCTTTATCCTAAAAGTCATTATCACAGAATATATAAACCATCATATTTTATTCCACTCTATTTTGTATTTTTTATTTGTTTTTCATAAAAATGTGACCAATTATTAGACTGCATTTATCTGCATCTAAAAAGTCTGTGTGACACCTTCTGAAAATTGTTCATTTTGCTCATTTTGCAACAGACTTTTTTCCCTTCCAAATATTGTATCATCAAAAGGAAGTTGCTAGCATCATACTATTTCAAAGAATATTTTAATTTCAGACACACTAACAAAGAAATGTTCTAGAGTCAGTTTTGTAAACAAAATAAAACATTATTTTCTAACCCATCTGTTTACCTGTAAATTATTATGCAAAAGTCTGACAAAGAGAACTGGAGTATTTAAGTTAAATGCTCATATCTGTGATCTGCAAACTCTTCCTTTGTCTTTACTTCTCACACATTCACAGGTTTAATGGATGTCTGATTACAGAAATCAACCCTCATTAATAATCTTTCAGCTTCACTCTGAGCTGCTGTGAGAATTGAAGAACTGATAGTTTAACAGTGCTGGAAATCTAGAGCTCATTTCTGATTATAACGACACTTTTGAGAAGATAAAGACAATTTTTTTTTTTTTACAAAATAACAGTTACGTACAGTAGATGAACACAACACTCATTTGATGCTTGTTACTATAGAGTCACTATACAGTCTGGAAACATTTTACACATGCTGCAAACATTTACTTTATTCGTAACCATTTTGCACCCTTAACACTTATAAACTATAGGTTATACTATAGAAGTTCAAACAAACAATATAGTCACAATCTAACAGATTATTTCAGTCATTGTTAAGTAGCAGAGGGCAGGTGAAATGTATATGTTTGTGGATTTTATTATATGTAAAAGTCAAGACTCCGTGTGTTGTTCCATATGGTGTGTCTGATTTTTCTTTTTATTCAGTAAAACTTTTAAATGAAAAAAATCAATTCATGCTATTGTTTCTAAACGACTGTTTGGCCAAAACACAGCGATTGAAAGTGTGATGAGTATCTGCTAAATGAGCTCCATTGACTCCTTCAGTGAAGCCGCTCCACAGCCGTTCATGAGAGTTTAAATGCTGGAGAATATTCCCCACTTTAGTCATTTCCATGAGTACAAATCTTAATGTTTAAGCATATAATGATATTCTAGGGAATTGTGCGCTTCTAATTTTATAGCAACAGTTTGGACAGGACCCTTTTCTATTCTAACATGACAATGCCTCTGTGTATGAGGCAAGGTTCAAAAAGAAATGATTGATTCAGTCAGTGTGGAAGAACTTGACTGGTCTGCAGAAAGAAAAGTCCTAATCCCAGCTGAACACCTCTGGTGTGACTTTAAATTCTATTCTATTCTATTCTGTTTTATTTATATAGCACGTTTAAAAACAACAGACATTGGCCAAAGTGCTTTACAAATCAGACATAGCACATACAGTATAAAATTATAAAACACAGTAACACATCACAAAAATAGATAAAATTAATTACAGTCAAATGCAAGAGAAAAGAGATAAGTCTTTAAATGAGATTTAAAAACATCAAGAGTGGCACAAGATCTAACTTGGAGAGCTAAACTATTCCATAGACGAGGAGCTGCAACAGAAAAGGTCTCCTTTTGATTTTAATCGAGACTTGGGAACAACTAGCTGGAGTCTTTGTGCAGATCGTAAGGGCCTGGATGATGTATGCTGCTGAAGAAGTTCACTAATATAACGTGGTGCCAGTCCATTTAAACCTTTAAAAACAAATAATAATAACTACTGAATCCTAAATGGGACTGGAAGCCAATGAAGGATGCTAATACTGGTGTTATACTAACAAGTTAAAAGCCTAGCAGCTGCATTTTGAACCAGCTGCAGGCGTGAAATTGATGCATGAGAAACACCATAGTACAAGGAATTACAATAGTCCAGTCTGGACATGATAAAAGCATGGATAACAACTTCCAAATCATTAAAAGATAGAAAAGGTTTAAATTTTGCTATATTCCTTAATTGGTAAAAACCACCTCTAACCACAGAATTAATGTGCTTATCAAACTTTAACTCTGCATCAAAAATGACTCCAAGACTCTTTGCATGATTATGTACCTTAGATTTAAATTTGATTATGGGTTCAGAAACACTCGGAGGGCCAAACACTATCACTTCAGTCTTTGATTCATTCAAATGAAGAAAATTTGCTGCCATCCATTCCTTAATATCCTTAAAACATGCAAAAGAAACTGTAAGGGTGAATTATCCCCCATTTTTATAGGCAGATAAAGCTGTGTATCATCGGCATAAAGATGATAGCATACATTATGTTTCTGACAGATAACAGCCAAAGGAAGCATGTAAATAGAAAATACCGCTGGACCCAATATTGATCCTTGGGGAACCCCACACTTCATCAGAGCAGAAGAGGATGAGAAATTTCCTAATTCAACAGAAAAAGTTCTCCCTGAAAGATATGAACTAAACCAGTTAAGAAATGTACCTTGCATCCCAGCCCACAGTCTTAAACGCTCAATCAGTATTGTAACATACTACATTTGCCATGTTATATATGTCATGTGACCATATGGCGTCAGTTGCGTCGCTTCACTGCCTTTCACAACTCCTACCCCACACTTCATCAGAGCAGAAGAGGATGAGAAATTTCCTAATTCAACAGAAAAAGTTCTCCCTGAAAGATATGAACTAAACCAGTTAAGAAATGTACCTTGCATCCCAGCCCACAGTCTTAAACGCTCAATCAGTATTGTAACATACTACATATGCCATGTTATATATGTCATGTGACCATATGGCGTCAGTTGCGTCGCTTCACTGCCTCTCACAACTCCTACTAGGTCATCCATGTATATTTAGGCTACTATTTAATGAATACTGCTATAGACGGTATGCCCTTTTTCTGTATAATAATACACCCCATAGTATAAATATTTTCACATGCATCACATCAACAACTGGAAAAAAGGACAGAAGATTTCTATAAAATGTTATAGCAAATCTTAAACAGTCGCAAATTGTGGGAATTGAAGAACTGAAAAAACTTTAACTCAGAGTGATTGTGTGTGAAATTAGCTCCATTGATACCTTCAGTGAAGCCGCTCCACAGCCATTCATGAGAATTTAAATGCTGGAGAATATTCCCATCTTCCCACAGCTGAAGAAGAAGCAAGCAGGAGGAATTACTCCAGGAGAAACTACTGACATACTGTTGGAAAGATGGAGTTTGAGGAAGAACCCTGCAGAATGAGAGATGAAGATACAGAGGAACAAACAGGTTGGTGTTTTCCTTCCTTCTCTGTATTGACTTATGAGGAATATTCAGATGAAATCTGACATAAAACAATACATCTAAAATTCAGTTAAAATCAGTAATAAGCCAATTTTTGTTAAATTGAGACTCAGTTATATTTAATCTTCTTTCCCATTTGTTATTCTTTAATTGAATAGCCTATTCATTAATTAATATATGTTGATTTTTAGACTCAATGGAAGTGAATAAGGACAAGCAGCATCGGTTTCAAAAACCTTATGTCACAGATGAAGATGAAAACACTATTATTTCAAAGACTGAAAAAAAAAACCGAGCTGGAAAAACTGGAGTCAAAGGATCTTTCGCCTGCACAGAGTGTGGAAAGAGTTACACATGTAAACCAGAACTTAACAGACACATGAGAGTTCACACTGGAGAGAGGCCTGTACACGCACTCAGTGTGGAAAGAGTTTTATTCTAAAACAAAACTTAGAAATACACACAAGATTTCACACTGGAGAAAAAACGTTCACATGCACTCAGTGTGCCTTTCTACTATTCCATCTATCTTCTCAGGGTGGAGTGAGGTCGTTTTTCTGTGATCAGTGATAAACAAATTTTTTCCCCATCAAGTTTAAGAAGACATCTTAAACTTCATACTGGTGTGAAGCCTCACTTTTGCACTTTTTGTGGAAAGAGTTTTTCACAACCGCAAACTTTAAAAGAACATGAGAGTATTCATACTGGTGTGAGACCTCATTTGTGCTTTGACTGTGGAAAGACCTTTGTTAAACCCAACCTCTTAAAACAACACCAGAGGATTCACACTGGAGAAAAACCTTACAAGTGCTCACACTGTGGAAAGAGTTTTAATTACTCGTCATATTTAAAAAAGCATGAGATGATTCACACTGGAGAGAAGCCACACCAGTGCTCTTCATGCGGGAGGAGTTTTGCCCGACTCTCTGCTCTACAGGTTCATATGAAAAAGCATGGCCCAAAGTTGTCTAAATGAGCCAGTCTGGGAGATTGCTGGGAGACAAGTTTGCATTCATATCCATGACATTCAAGTAAATAAATTGATGCTCAGGTAAAGCTATAGCTGGAATCAGTTCCAACAATGTGATTTCCTCCCCTTTGGAAGGTCAAACTGATAGTTTTAGATGCTAGAGTAGCCATAAAATGCTATGATTTATGAAGGGGTATGTTTATTTTTATGTTGAAGAGTTAAATGAATCACATTAATTGTGCATATGAGCTTTTGTGAAACTGGCAACAATAATCCATAAATCATCATCCATATCACAAACAACTTTTTTATTGTAACTTTATATGTATTGAGAACATACTGAAAAAACTTTCTTAGATTGAAATCACTCTGTAAATGACTGTAAATGTTCACGAGCTGTTTTATGGTGTTTGAAACTCAATCTGTAAACAGTGTGGATGAAAATATTTCAAAATCAGTAAGTTTGGTCATGGCGTAGCTTATGGTTGAAGAGGGGTTGGTTAATGATATTTTCTGACCTCTTAAATGTTGTGTGCAATGCACTAATTGCACATTTTGAAACTGAGAAATAAAGTATAAAACTAATTGTACCAATTTATTTAATGTACTTTAGTTTGTGTGAAATCAAAATGTTTAACAATGTATTCAATATTGCTATTCATCTAGTATAAGAATCATTTTAAACAAATATAAAAACTACAGATGTGTTTTCTTATTTAAATAATATGAAGGAAAAAAAACTGAAGTAAGAATCAAATATGTGTGGTCTGTGTTTATAGCAACTCGTTCTTCCTTTCCTGGAACTCTTGAACACCCTTTCTATACTGCTGTGATTTACCTCTAATTTTTGGGTGGATGTTTTCAATAAACTTTCAGTGAAAAATAATCATATTTATCCCTTATAGTTTTAGAAAATACCCTGTTTTTAAAAATATCTTGAATTCCCTGTTTTCTGACTGAACATGGTAATTTAGGTTGGTAAAATATCACATTTACACATGCACATGGAAGAAATGTAAACCCTCCTTTACTTCTTAGATTTTGTGAGAATATTTCAAAGTTTCCTTTTAAATACTCTAAAGAAAACTAGAAAGATGGGAAGCCTTTGCTTCTCATCAAAATAGTTACTATTTTAGTGCTGTCCTGATTTATATTAAATTCCATTAAATTTCATATCTTGCTTTTTTATGTCAGTGTGGTGTGGCTTATGATGTTGATATGTACCCTATCTTGCAATAAAAAATGTGCACCAAAAAAAAAAAAGCCAGTAAAGACATTAATAATCTTAACAAATATTTATATTTTAAATCATTTCAAATAATTCACATTTCTATTTTCCATTTCATATTTATATTTCAATCTTTCTGTTCATCGGAAAATAAAAACACCTCCACACATTTTATTAAGCAGCGCAACCATTTTCAGCTATATATAACAGCTAAGAAGAAATGTTTCTTGTTACTTTCACTTTTTTTGGTCACTTTTGAGCAGCAATCAGCATGATTTCTGTAGGATCATGTGTAATGCAGCTTTAGCATGCAGGAAAATGCATTTTAAAATCTATTCATGTAGAAAGCAGTTCCTTCAAATGGTAGATTTAATGTTTTCACTTTATTTTTGATCAAATAAATGCAGCCTTACTGAGCAGAAGAGATTTGTTTCAAAACCATGAAAAAAATCTCACTGACCCCCTTTTGAATGGTGGTGTATATTATATATTTTATTTATAATATATTTTAAAAGCCTGTATTTAGCCCAGATACTGTTAAACAGCCTAGGCCATATATATAATTTTAAAAAATCTCAGTGAATGCCACTTCCCTTACGAAAAAGAAGTGTAATCAAGTGTGCTATTAGTATACTTCTTTTAAACAAAAAAATAGGAAAGTATACTTTTAGTCTACTTTTTATGTACTTCTCAGAAATGGGATTTATGTACTTCTCAAAAATATACTTTATGGGCTGGAATTGGGAACCTGATGTAGCCTATTGTAGTAATGTTGTCTCTGGTCTGTGAGTGTAAATGCGTTCAGGGGGCGTGGCTTTGGACGGCGATTGCAGGAAGGGTGGGACGTTCGCTTTCAGTGCTATCAGGCTAAAGTTAGCATTTTCCAAGATCTCCTATTGTACCTTTAAGTATACTTACTAAAATAAACTTGAAGTATACTTTTTGGTAAGGGTTGACATTAATGACATTTGATTGGACTGGATTTGAAGTATCATTATCATTAGTTTTCCAAGGAGGCAAAAAAAAAAAATCGTGTTTATCGTGTCTATTCTTTTAAACGGGTGCCGCGTTCTATTTCTGACGCACTCCACGCGCTACAAATAGACAGATACGGAAAGTTCGCTTTGATGCATCCAGTGTAGTTAGAACATTGCAGACCATTTTCTTTTGCAAGTTTCAGCTCATACAGGTTTGGTGTAAACTCGCCTTGACCATGCAAACATCTCCCAAAAACACCTCAGCGCCCCCCTTTCATAAATATTGCTTCTAGCGCCCCCCGATGCTCTCTGAGTGCACTCTTGCGGCCTTCTACCCGGCAGTCAAAGCGGCATTACGTCACGAAAGTGTGGACTCAGAGTAAGACCGAGAGGTTTAGGGTGCGATTTGGGACAGGGCCGATATCTGCTGTTTATCAGACTGTAAGTACATGCATTTGATTATTTGCTGGAGAAATCTAAATGTGAATATTTATTCATGTGATATAGCTTGAGCGGTGTCTGATTCATGAACGACTCTTATGACTCGGTTCATTTTAGTGAATCAAAAACAATGAGTGGTAGCAGTTAGGCTACTGAAATAATCTGCCTGATATTGAATCCTAATCTATCGATACTGAAATGTATATTGACTGCTTGTTTACACAGCAACGTGTGAAGACTGTGAGTTGTGCTAAGCAATATAATGAATAAATGAATTGCTTTAAAAGTGCTGGAAATTTGAAGCTAATTTCTGATAACACTCTAAAACGACAATTTGCCCAAAACACTTAAAGCTGGATGATTGAGAGTAACTGTGAGTGTTTGAGCATCTGCTAAATGAGCTTCACAGCCGTTCATGAGAGTTTAAATGCTGGAGAATATTCCCATCTTCCCACAGCTGAAGAAGAAGCAAGCAGGAGGAATTACTCCAGGAGAAACTACTGACATACTGTTGGAAAGATGGAGTTTGAGGAAGAACCCTGCAGAATGAGAGATGAAGATACAGAGGAACAAACAGGTTGGTGTTCTCCTTCATTCTCTTTAATGACTGATGAGGAATATTCAGATGAAAACTGACATAAAACAATACATTTAAAACTATACATTAGATTTTTTGCTAAATTGAGGTTCACTTACATTACTTTTTGTCCTTCTTTAAATTAATATTATATTGAGAATTACATTTTTGATTTAGACTTGATGGAAATGAATAAAAACAAATGGCATCAATTTCAAAAACCTCATCTTTTCACAGATGAAGATGGAAACACTGTTTCACAGACCGAAGAGATTTTCACACAAAAACGAGCTGAAAAAACTGGAGTCAAAGATTCTTTTACCTGCTCCGAGTGTGGAAAAAGCTACTCACGTAAACAAGAACTTACGAAACACATGAGAATTCACACCGGAGAGAATCTGTTCACATGCACTCAGTGTGGAAAGGATTTTGTTGACAAAAAAGGCTTGACCAGACACCTAATGGTTCACACTAGAGCAGGATAAACTACTGACATACTGTTGGAAAGAGGGAGTTTGAGGAAGAAGCCTGCAGAATGAGAGATGAAGATACAGAGGAACAAACAGGTTGGTGTTCTCCTTCATTCTCTTTAATGACTGATGAGGAATGTTTAGATGAAAACTGACATATAACAATACATTTAAAACTATACATTAGATTTTTTGCTAAATTGAGGTTCACTTACATTACTAATTATCATTATCAATACTATTATCAATTTCAAAAACCTAATCTTTTCACAGATGAAGATGGAAACACTATTTCACAGGCCGAAGAGAATTTCACACAAAAACGAGCTGAAATTTATGAAAACAATTCAACAAAGGCATCAGTGAACTATTAGAGAAAGTTTATTAATACACATTTGAGTGATTCTGAGAATGTAACATTGATGAATCATGATAAAAATCAAATTGGCTCTAGACATTCATGTTCAAAATTATTCAACCCCCAAAAGTCGAATTCAGGACCTGGACGACTTGCCATAATTGATGGAAGCATGAATTCTGCTCTATCAGAAAATCCTGAAGGAGAATGTCCGGCCGTCAGTTTGTGACCTCAAGCTCAAGCGCACTTGGGTTATGTAGCAGGACAATGATCCCAAACACACCAGTAAGTTCACCTGAATGGCTCAAGAAAAACAAAATTAAGGTTTTGGAGTGGCCAAGTCAAAGTCCGGACTTAAATCCGATTGAGATGCTGTGGCAAGACCTTAAACAGTTCATTCATGCTCAAAAACCCTCCAATGTGGCTGAATTACAACAATTCTGCAAAGAAGAGTGGGCCAAAATTCCTCCACAGCGATGTGAAAGACTCATTGCCAGTTATCACAAACGCTTGATTGTAGTTGTTGCTGCAAAGGGTGGCCCAACTAGTTATTAGGTTTAGGGGGCAATTACTTTTTCACATAGTGCCAGGCAGGTTTGGACAGCTTTTTTCCCTTAATAAATGAAAACGGCATTTCAAAACTGCATTTTGTAGCAGTTATCTTTGTGTAATTTTAAAATTTGTTTGCAACTTTTTGCAACTTAGTGTTACTTAGCATTTTGAGCAGTTGGATCAATAGATAGTTAGATCATTGTAATGAAATGAATAGACACTCAATTCAGATATAATGTGTGAGTTGCATTTTGAAATAGTAATACTTTGATGTTAAGTTGTGTCATTTTGAACCTGTGATTTTAGTTCAGTGAGCAAATGATCTATAGGTTTATGTGAATTGTATCCAAGCATTTGGAAAAAGTGTTGTGTTTTGAAAAATTTGCATTTTGATCATCGGTTGTGAATTATTTGTCTAGAGTTTTGAAAAATGACATGAAGGTCCCGATATTAGTGCAAAAATGATTGTAAAAAAAAATAATTTGATAACGTATAGATAACAACGATCATATTATTGTAATTGAATTTATAGTTCAAATGTAAGAATTTGAAATGAAAGATGAAGTAATGACGTTACTTAATTCCAGTTTAATCTTCCTAATAAAAAGACTGTTCTACTCTTAATATTTTGCATTTATATTCTCTCCTTTAATGGCAATATCATTCATTTTTTTGATACTGACACAAAGGAGATGGCACAGGCCTACAGAAAGATTGTATTGTCATCAGATGTAGCTTTGCACACTGCCAGCATCTAGAATGATTTTGATCAACATTTTAGTGTTCATAGCAGAGGACTCTTTCAACTTGTTATATTTTAAAGTTTGTCAATTGATAAAATATTTTGTAGGCTTTGCATGAACAGGTGCACCCCTCGAAAGCCTGAAACCACAGAGCCCCCCACATAACAAATCCCAGTTTAACCCGTTAACCTAACCTCTCTTGCTTTTGTCTGAGACACACCTGCGGTGGAAAAGTAATGTAATTGGTGTAAGTCTGAACACTGTGTAATGCTAGTAACACCAACTACCGCAGCAAGCCTAATGCAAGTAATTTTGTCATGCAATGCATTAAATGCTAAAGTTAAATTATCATATGTTATGTCATTTTAAGTGAAAATGTAGTATAAACAATAATTTATAGGCTAAATTGAAATAGCATTATTGACCTGTATTTTTTTCTAATTAAACTGTTTTTTTTTTTTTTTAAAGGAAGTGTTTAAAAA